TACTGTAAGTTAAGTTAAAAGAAAACATAAAAAGCTAACTGAAAAATAAAAAAGTTAATATGCCTAGTTAACAGTTAAATTTAGGTTTATAAACTAAAATATGTAAGTGCCAGTATAAGGATTAATGCCTCTAAGGTTATTTTGCACCAAAAAAAATGTTTCTTTCACCCTCAGAGTGTTTTTCATAATTTCTTACAGAATCACTTTTGTTATTTTCAGGCAAGTTGGCCTATCTTGTTATAACATTGACATTAATTTTTGCCATCACAATATCCATATTTTTTTATGTTACAAAGGTAACAAGGTATAGTTCTGGATTTCAATAACACTATTGGCCTGAAATATAGATTTTCAAAGTGCCCAATAAAGGGATAAGGACACTGGATTTTGTTTGATATGAAAAAATAATAATAATAAATGATGACCTCTACTGGTCACTCAGCATTACTACATAAACTCCAAGACAACAACCTCTGACTTTTTAGTAGACTGACTTAGCATTCCAGGTACTTCACTGCTCCTGGATTCAAAGGAATAACATAGATTGCATTTTAGTACTGAGGCTAACACAGCATTTGTTTTACAACAGAAGAAAAAGAATGATTAAAATTACTTCCCATTATCAACTAAAAAAAAATAAAAGAAGTTTAAAAAACTAATTGCAAACTCTAAAATAAACCAACAAGGGAAATTTGGATGGTTTTCAATTTTCACAAACACCTTTAGGTCAGAAAACTGACCAGCAGTTTATTGGCCAGGAAGATCTTTCATTTGTGATGAAAAACAGCCATTAAGGCTCTGATGTTGTTACTGGTAAAGCAGTGTGTTTTATTAGGCAGGGTTTCCACACTTTTTCATATCCAATGCAAGGATTCTTTAAGGACCACAAACCGCATTTAACCTCTGAGATGGGTTAATATGTGAAAGTTTTTTTAAAAAATGCAATTTGTAGTAAAAAAAAAAAAGAAAAAAAAAAGAAAAAGAAAAATGACATAGAAGTTGTTAGATCAGGTCGAGTGATTATTTAGAAAACATTTTTATCTAACTTCCACCAATGAATAAATGAGCAGAGCTTCATTTCCAAGGATCTCAGGAAAATCTGGTCTGTTTTTAGTGATTTATTTGGAAAAAAAAAAAAAAGAAAGATGTTTTATAGAGCCAGTAAGCTCTATAAAAAGATGTACTTTTTATAGAGCTTACTGGCCACCTCTACCAAAATTTTCTGGAACTGCCACTGATGAACAACGACCACAAACCTGTTTTGTATGGTTTGTTGCAGGATGCATTTAGTTTAATTTTGGCTCCACTAACTTGAGTTGTTTTATGCTTTTCCTGTCCTTTTTATAGAGCTTACTGGCCGCCTCTACCAACATTCTCTGGAACTGCCACTGATGAACAACGACCACAAACCTGTTTTGTATGGTTTGTTGCAGGATGCAATTAGTTTGATTTTGATGTATTTTGGCTCCACTAACTTGAGTTGTTTTATGCTTTTCCTGTCCTTTTTATAGAGCTTACTGGCCGCCCCTACCAACATTTTCTGGAACTGCCACTGATGAACAACAACCACAAACTTTTTAGACCTAAATTGTTTAGACGTTGCAAAATGACCAGAAGAATTGTTCTGTTTACATGAGAAACAATAATAACACCAAATATGCTGAAGCGCTGTACTATAGTAATATTAGAGCTCTTGATACAGTTGACTTCAGTTTGTTTATTTAAAAAGAACCAATTTACAACCACTTATTTCAAGAACCTTAACAAAAATCAAATCTTTATTATAGTGATAAATAACAGGTGAAGATAGAATGACAGGAAGGATCCTTCAACAGAACCAGACCCAGTAGGCAGGATTTGATATAATTCAGTCTTTTAAACACGAAACATGTAACAGAATTCAACACAAACACAGAATGAAATTCAATTCAAGTAAGATCCTATTTACAACATAATGAAGATAAATTCAGTGTATTATGGCATTAAGAGAAACATATTTAATCCAGGGAAGCCCAGCCAATCACATCCAGTCATTAATCTTGCAGCAGTCCCTCCAAGCTGAGCAATGAAGTGGTGAAATTAGAGAGGAAAACTAGCTTTATACAGGAAGGATCCTCCAGCACAACCCGGCTTCATGTCAGCGCCCATCTGCTGCTGCCGAGCGAGTCTTTAACAGGACAGCAGACGTCCAACAAACATCTTAACAATCCTTAACATATTTGAAGACTTTTCATGGCTTCAATACAGATTTGATGTATTAATCAGACTGTAGTGGTAGACCAGCAATGGGTCGTGCAATGCTGTGTTGTTGATGCTAAAAATGTGATATTTTAATATCTACTAAAATACGGAGGCACTATGACACACATTAATAACGACATATGTTAAATTTGGGTTCAGTGCAATATCCAAAGACTTCAGAAACATAAAAGAAAATGCTGAGGTAGTTACGAAGCTATTTCTCAGGCTTTGTGGTAACAGAAAACACGCAGGGGTTGTAGGATTCTATTTTCAACTGGATCCATATGCAGAATATTCGGAAATTAGTTTCAGACCTTAAGCTCAAGCTTACCTATGGGATTCAATAGGACAATGATTCAAACTTATTCAAAATACTATCTCTAACTGCACAGCTTTAGGTTTACATTTTTTTTTTTTACTTCACCAACATTGTTGCTTTTCAATGGAAGTAATTTTAAAGTTATCGAGCAGTTCAGAGATAGATGCTTTATCATTAAAATGTTTCTTATCTTTATTTCTTTGACACTAAAGTTCACCATCGTTAGAAGAAAATCATTAAATAAATTAATGACTTATTTGCTGTAAAGTTCTAAGCAGCTGTGCATCTCCACACTGTAGAAACATGCAAAACAAGCAGCAATGCATACACACACAAAGTGATAATTTTTGCATGCCAGAAGCTGAAGTAGCAATGAGCCATCCTTTTTTCAAAAATCCTGTCAGAAACCCACAACCCTAAATTTAACTCCAAATGGTTTTCATTGCTTTTTTAAATTTATGTAATTTAACAAAATAATATGGCAAGTATTCACATGACTATTAACAGAAATGAATTCAACATGATTTAAAGTAAATATGAAGTAAAACTACTGCAATCAGTCAACTCAAAGTGGTATCTCATTTCCTCATCTCTGTTACAGTATAAAAGCTAAAAACGGCTATGAATACTGTGCAGATCCATCTCAGCAGTGGGTGAAGGACCTAATTTAGATCAAGGGCATCGGGACCAAAATTAAAGGATGGGAACCTGACCAAAATAATGAGCAAAGCCCCCTCCACACCATCCTAGTATCATCCACTCCAACCTCTCACTGCTCAGTGAGCAAAGCTAGACTACTTTGGAGAAATGCACCTTAAACTCTCTCTACTTAAACACTGAGCAGTCCTTTGAATATTCACTTTCAATAAATGCTAAAGTTATTATTTTGCCTTCTGTCTTCATTTTGTCAACTCAACTCCTGAATGCATATTTTTAATTAAGTGCAATCAATCACATAAAGAAAACTTTTTTTATCCAGTTTTATTATGAAAAGCATTCTGTCTCATGAAATTGCACAGTTTATTTCACTGTGCAAATTAGATCCTACATTGTTAAGTGATTTGGCAGAACAAATAAATGGCTTGGGGATGACTTGTTGACTCCACAACCCCCATCTCTGCATTGAATATAATGAAAGTATCTATAAGCTTATATTTAGCAACTCAAGGTCTTGTCTCCCATGTTCCACTTCACACAGTAAAAAAACTGTGGATTTGCTTGTAATTTGTTCCAATGTTTAGTCAATTTAACTCATTAATTGATCAACTGAGAGTGAGAGGCAGCTTGGAATTGAATATCTCTCACTGAAAGAAGGGGAGTGGTTAGATGCAGTTCAAAATAATTTTATCTTCACTGTCAGTCTTCTGGATATATATATATATATATATATATATATATATATATATATATATATATATATATATATATATATCCTGACCTATTAACTGGAGTGATCAGCGTTCACCTAAACTTCATACATAATAAGCATATTTTCATTGTTTCTTTTTTAACTCCTCATTTTCTTTATATTTTCATCTTGAAATCTCTATAAATGCACTGTATGATTAAAATGATGAAATGCTCTATAAATGATTTAAAAAGGAGAGCAATGTATTAAGATAAAATTTCAGTCTTAGCCCACTGGTGAGTTGTGCCATTTTCAGAAGATGCTGTGGTCACCCCCTGTGGCCTCTGAGGGCCCCTTGGAGCCTGTGGGCTTCACGTTGGTGACCCCTGCTCTACTTTCAATCATTCACCCATTCAAACACACTGATGATGGTAAGCTACATTATAGCTAGAGCTGCCCTGATGTTCACTGATGGAACAGAGGCTGCCATACACAGGTGCCAGTTGGGCCTCTGACCACCATCGGTAGGCAATACAGGTGAAGAGCTTATAGCCTGAGGACACAGCAACAGAGAAAGCCAGAGCTGTGGTTCAAACATGGCAACCCTTTGGTTTCAGGGCGAAACCCTGCATCCAACACCACTCCCGACAACATGAAGATGGTCCTGTTGTTGAAATAAGTCCTCTTCATATATGTCTTAGATTAGATTAGATTAGATGAGCTTTATTGATCTCACAGCGGAGATATTCACTCGTCACATATTGGCATAGAAGTTAAAGAAGGTGCAAACAAGGAGGAAAAGGTGCATTAAGAATAAACAATATATATACAGTATATCCAGGTGTATACAGTATATTAAGATAAATAAGGAAAGAAAAACAAAATAAAAAAGTAAGAAATATGGCTTATATACATACATACCACTTCTAGAGCAGCGGTCCCCAACCACCGGGCCGCGGACCGGTACCGGTCCGTCGGTCATTTGGTACCGGGCCGCACAGAAAAAAACAAATATATATATATAGATATATATAGATATAGATATATATCTATATATATCTATATATATATATATATATAATTTATCGACGTCCGATGTTATTTAACATCCTATCTTTGTGAAGTGTGATTTTCTGCGGTTACAGCGACCAAAACAAAGCTACGGAGCAGACTGGACATCAGGAGCACACTACGTGTGTCATTGTCTCCTATTACTCCTAGATGGGACTGGCTTATTGTTATATTTTTATGCTGTTTGTATTTGATTTTATGCCAGTTGTATGATTTTACTTGATCGTATTTACCCCCGGCCGGTCCGTGGAAATATTGTCTGACATATAGCGGTCCGTGGTGCAAAAAAGGTTGGGGACCGCTGTTCTAGAGTCTCCTCTTATTTAAAGAAAACTGCAGGTAATGTTCATCAAACACATATATCCACCTTGATATGTCTGAAGGGGGTCTCAGCTCAGAAATAGCCATAAATTGAGTTCATTCTCTCAATGTACCCCTTTCTCTGCTGCTTGCTCCTCCAACAATCTGAACTATCCGATGGATCAGTCGGGATATACTGCAGGATAAAGACAGAGTCACAGTCATAAGATTGTCGAGACAACAGCAAAAACATTTTGAAAGCAGAAAATCTAGTCATCATGTCAATTAACTTATAAGGAAATATTAAATGGGCTCAGCTAGAAGCTAAACCTTTCCACACAGCCTGGAAGAAAAATGAAAAAATCTGAGAATAACGCTATGATCTTGGTTTAGCAGTTATAATCTAAACAAGCAATAGCAGTAGAAATGGTTGCCTTGTAATTGCTTGGCATCTAAAAACTCTTCCAAAGAAGCAGTGAGAATAGCAAAAATCAATTAAGCATTTTAGACATTGTAGAGCGCAAAAGAAGAGCTAAGATGGACGGACGGACAGACAGACAGACATTTCTCACCTGGTTAACGCCTAAATGTTGGGATTTTCTTCTCCTCCTACAATTCCTGTAGTGGTGAAGAAGCTCATATTAACATTTTTTGAGACTTTTGAAGCTAGGCTATACATTACAGGGCCTTTAGAAAGTATTCACAGCTCTCCACTGTTTTCCTTTTATGTTACAGACGTATTCAAAAATAAACTTTTTATCATTCAGAAATACATTCATGGTTTTTTCCCTTGCAAATACGTAGGGAATAAAGCAATTACTATCAGCCTTTAATCAAAACATTATTGAAAGACCTTATCTCCTCCATTCATCAAAAATGATTCCATAAGCTGGACTCGTTTTTTGGGACAATTTGAGAAGTTTGTATTTTCAGAGCACTTACAGCCCCATCAGAGGAGATTGGAAACACTGATATACAACCAAATTAGTTAGTTTTCTAAGATATTTAATCAATTTCAACTCTAAAGTCTTGCTGGACCACTCATTAACATTTACACATAATCTTTGCAAAACTAAAGTCTGGTTTCTGGAAAGGATAAAGCCTGTGTGAACCCAACTATAGCGAAATACTAGCGACTGACTTAGCAAACAGTAAGATCTTAATCAAGCAATCTTTTCTTGTAAAGTCATGCATGAAGATGCACAAATCTAGATAAACTTTTCTTGTAGCAAGAAAAATTTCATTTGTGAAGCAGAAAAAAAAAATCGAAATGCTATGCAGTAAAGTGTGTATTAAATAGTCAGTAATAACTTAGGAGTTATTAAATGATCTATTAATCTAGAGTAGAATATTAAGTTGATGCATCTATCACAAGTAACATTGAAATGTTCACATTTACTAACAGAAAACTTGCCACTTTTTAATCTATTGAAGATTTGAGTTCAGGGTATTTTTAGCTGTTCATGTCGCTGCACCTGCCTGATCCTGATGATGTAACAGTAGACACACTTGTATTCACATCAGTCTAACGCAATTACAAACACCAAGGAGCTGTTCTCGTGTTTGCCTGTATAATTTTAAATTCTTCTTGTGCTGTCATTTTCAGTGTAAAGCAAAAACTGAATAAATCTACTAACAGACATTAATACATACAAGAGTATTAGATTATCTGACATATTTCTTTATATATATTTCAGGCAACCCTAGGAGTTTGATACCAACAGGCAACCTGCCAAAACACAAAGCGTGTGCATCAGAAGGTCAAACTGCACCTTTACTTTTTGCACAGAACACAGTGGAGACAGAAACAGCACAGTGTCATTACTATGTGATACAGGAGTGCTAGTCAACAGCGGTGAGTCAGAGGGCATTACCCATTGTTTGTTCTCTTTAAAAGTCAGGAAACAAAAAGAGCATTCAGCTCATTTCTGTTTTACATCGCTAAGCACGACTATAACAAAGCCATGATATTACTCTTAATGCTCATGTGAAGCTGATGTTTACATGAGCAAAATACTGTAACCTGATTGACATGTGCTCTGATTCAAAGAAAAAAAAGTATTCTGAATACACCATTTGTGTACAGTAAGCTGAGAATAGACCCAGGACTCCTCATTAGGAGGTGACTTGGGCATTTGCTCTGAAAGCTTCCTGGAGTTGAGGGTGACACCCTCAACAACCTCTGAAAAGAACCTCGGAAAGAACCTCTGACACCCTTGAGGGGTCAGAGGTTCTTTTCTCCAGAAGGAAGCCCTCTGGGCTGCCCAGGAGAAAGACTATGGGCCGGATCTATCAAAGGTTTGCGTGTATAAAAACGTGAGCTATTTCACTGCGCACGCTAAAAAATGTAAAAACTGATCTATCAACAGCGTGCTAAAAGGATTTGGTCTTTAAAACGTGCTAAATAGCGCCTCTTATCCATTTAGTACTTTTTCTGCAATGAATATGCAATATGGGGCGTTTACACGCAAAAGTGCGTCTTGTGGGAGGAGAACATGTAAATATATTAATTTAGCACTCGCAAAGTAATTTATCAAACCTGAAAGCAATTTTGCTAACGGTATCTGACTCTATATTTAACACGTTTCAAAAGAAGGTGCAAATGGTCTGTATGCGTAATTGCGCACACATGGCAGCGGTTATTGTCGCAAGAAGGAGACATCGAAATGAAGCAAGGAGACGCAGAGAATGCATTTTTTCACTCCGTCTGAATATTTTTGGAATGAACGAGGAAATGATCATCAAAACATAGTTTATCCAACATTGCCATTTTGGAGCTGTTGGGGGAACTCCGAATGGATTTGGAGCCAGCCACAAGGAGGACCCACGCAATACCAGATATCACAAAACTCCTTGCAACATTGCACTTTTTTGCATCTGGGATCTCCCAATCTCGTTTTTCAGAAGTGCTGTCCGACGTTCTAAATGCCATGTCGCCCTGACGCCCTACCGGAGAACCCCGACCTCCCCATTGCGTACGCGCAGTAATCTCATCCACAGTCACTTCTTGTGAGCAATTTGGTATTTGGTATGTGCATTTTTCTACAGGCCAATACAAAACACCTGTTTTTTTTTTTTTTTTTTTTTACTGCAGTGAAGTAGAAATTCAGCCACATACCACCTTAGGGAATAAAGGTTGCCAAAGTTTATATATATATATATATTTTTTTGGAGGGGGTGGGGGGGTCACTGTAAGATTAAAATTTCATGGTTCAGCCCCTCGCGCAAAATTCCAGTTTGCGAGCGCAGATTACTGCATGCAAAATTGGATCTTGATAAATCTGGCCCTATGCCTCTTAGTCCAAATTGGAACATCTCGGGCTCAGGAGAAGCTAGCTAGGTTTAAGAGAAGGAAGTATTGGTGTTTCTATTGAGCGTGCTTCTCCCATGACCTGGTATCTTATATGCAGAGGATGACAAGTAAATGTTTCCTTTAATTGCCTAATATGAAAGGAGGAACTGAATCTTACTCCAGGCTTTGGGATTGATCAATTGCAATCATGTATATCTAAAATTATTTAAATATCCTTCTCCCAGTATTCTGCACATTCTAATGATACGTTTTTGATTACCAAATTTATGATGGTAAACGTCTGTTTTTTTGCTCATTTCAGAGACACGATAACAGAAAACTTTTTTTTCAAGTTGACCTTAATCTTGCTATAAACACACTTTAGTAGTTCAAGCATTACAATTCAGTGATTATTTTCAGCTAAAAGATGAAAAGTGTCTCGCTAAATTTAGTCAAAACAAACTGCACCACTGGCCATTCCAAAGGAAGGAAGTTAAAAACCCCTTAAAAAATATTAGGCAAATCTGATGCAAAAGTGTTGTATTAATTAAAGATTTGTCTAAATTTTCATACTATTACCCATTATCATACATGCAGCCCTGATGATTATTATTACTTACCTGCAGAGGCAGACAACCAGCATGAAGCAACATAAAATCAATCCAATGGAAGGTGATAAAATAAAAAACACATGCCTTGAGAAATTAATACCTGGAAAAAAAGAGGTATTCAGTATCATGCAGGGTGATGGTGAACTGTAATGTCATTGCAATTAAATACTATATTGTTATTGTCTCAACAAACCT